ATATAGGGAATAACTTTTACTCCTAACTTCTCTATTTCCCTTAAAAGCCAAATTAATTTCCACTCGTGCTCAGGTGTTGAGTTGTCAATCTGTTTCAATTCTCTCGTGAAGCCAGCTAAATCAACCAGTTTATTAGCCACATTGCTTGCTTGGGAAGCAACTTCCTTGGTGACATTGTCTTTTTCTTTCGTCTTCTGTGTCAATTCTCGGAGTTGTAGACAATGTTGTTCATTTTTTCTTGTGAGAGAATCTTTATGGTTACGGAGTTCTTGTACAAGATTTTCATAATCATCTAAACATTTCATCAATATCTTGTTCTTGGCTCTAGTGGCTTTTAATTCAGTATCAATCTCGTGCTGATGGATTTGATATGATGCTTTCATATTGGTTATAGTACTATTCAATATTTGATTTTTGGCTTGACATTTTCCCAATTCAATGACAGTTGTATTGCGTCTTTCTTCTGCAACTCGTAAACCATGAGAAAACTTCTTGGCTCGACCTTCATGTATCTTGCAGTTCTTTTTCAGTTTAGTGACCCCTGTTATCCACTCTTCTGAAGTATTTCCTATACTAATATTTTAAAGGCTTGACTGACCTTTTGAAAATCCTCATGCATGGTTTCTATTTCTGTGCTCAATTTATCGTTTTCAATCTTTAAATGACTTATTTGAGCATCGTACATCAACAAATCTTCTTCCTTCTTGATGCCCCTACTGATACTTTTACCTTTGAACACTTTTGGTATTAATCTAACATGACCTTCAGTTACCAAACTAGGTCAATCATTTATCATAAACTCTAAGATTACATGATCCAAATAACATTGGACTTGATGTTTGAAGGCAATACAATTCTCAACGTAATACCCTTAAGCTCCGACATGATATTCACAATGAACACTGATGTCATACCAATTCAGATACGGAGGTTGCCACTGTTTCACATAATGTGGGGCCGCTTCAAGTAGCTTCTCGTACAGCTCCTTATATGATATAGGGATAGTATCAAAATGAGAACCACCTTTTATTTTGAATTGAACCTGAATTTCCAACATCGGGAGCAAACTAAACCTTGACGATTTCATATTGCATGATTTCTTCTCATTTATGGGAACTTTTACAGTTGTCACCATTTCATTGGTATCTCCAAACAACTTGTGAATACGAATGATGACTATATGTATTTTCTCAAATTGGTTAGGATCAGAAGTCCCTTGTATATATGAGATTGCAGGATTATATTCATTAAGCTCTCTCTCTTTTTGTGCAGGATTCTCCTTTCCTTTGGCCAAAACATATATTCTACCCATTATCTTGGACATTTTCTCTCTTATTTCTCGTATCTCCTTTTGCTTTTCAACGGGCATACGATCTTTGGGTGCATAGTTCTCCTTTATCCTCGGAGCTCCCTCAGGATGTCATTCCTTGGTTACGTCATAGTTTGATTGATCATAAAACTCTTTGTCCATATATGAAAACTTTTCAATTTGATGACCACTCACAAATCAACACATTTTGGTTATGGCATGATCATGCAATGCAAGCAAAAGAAATCAATATAAACAAGTTAGAACAAAATAAAATGTATCTATAAAATAGATAAAAATAAGAAAAAATAAAATGGTTAGTACCAATTAATGTAAATAAAAAAATATTATTCATCATGTATCTAATATATATCCTAACCTCATGCTTTCTAGTTCCATGCTTTGTTTGGAAAAATAAACCTAACAACATGATTACTAGTCAGTATATATTTATTCAGAAAAAAATCAAATAAACTAAAAGGCAAAAGTTAGAGTTTATTTCTCCTTTGTGTACACCTATGGACAGAGTTTCAGCATTGCCTTAGATCAGGTGAATTTCTATGGTTTATTATATGTAGGGTTTCAGTTCTAAGAGTAAAGGTACTCGAATTGTCCTTGTTGGTGCCCTATTGGGCTGTCAAACCCTCAACTCTCACCCATTATAGGCTTAAATGGACCGAGTTCAATTCGAGAGGGTACACTTCCCTATGCCTGATACGGAGAATAAATCCTCACGAAGACATAAGAAATATGAATCCCGGAAGCTACTTGATAGGTCTGAAACGGAGAATAAATTCTCACGAAGACGTCGCTTTCACTCCCACTTAAAAGGGAAAAGAGCTCGAGTATAGAGCTTATGTTTATGCAATGCACGTGTTGTGTGTGAGGAGAAATTCTCAAACATTTGACAAACAACCACATCAAAAAGTAAATCCTAATACATGAAAATCAGTCAAATATTAACATACAAGGAAAAAATTGAAAGAAATCAAAAAAATTGTAAATTAAATAAAACTGAATTCTTAATTTCTAACTATTTAGGTTTCATCAGGGTCCCCAGTGGAGTCACCAAGCTGTCGTAACCGGTTTTCGCTCGGGCATGAATATTTCTTGGCGGAAAAGTAAGTGAATAAATAAATAGTTTTTTTAAGAAAATGTTTGGAGTCGCCATCAGCCTTTTGGGTTAGGTAGGTCGAATACCTAAAAATCATCTTTAAAATAGTTTTTAAGAAAACACCATTTTAAAAGATAAATTGGTTTGCGTGTAACCAAGATTCATTATTTTTAGTAATAAAAAAGGGATTCATGGTCGGCTACATTTGGGGAAGGATTAGCACCCCCACAACGCCCAAAATTGGTACACGTCAATTATAAATTGTCTCTAATAGTGGAAATATAAGAATTCAAATATAAATTTAATTTATGATACTATTATTTCAGAATCAATCGCATAATTTCATTTAAAGAAAATTCTTAAGGAAAAATAGAAAATATTCCAATATTTCCAATCAAAGAGAAACTAATCCCTAAAATGTTTTAAGACAAATATTTCTCTTTCCGACTGAAATAATAAGAATATTATAATTTATTCCTGAGAATTTTAGATTGAAATAACTTGATTCGACTAAATATGCATATTTGATTTTTCATAGTTTAATAAATAGGGTATTTATTTATTTTAAAATATCAGAATAGGATATCTAGTTACTTTAAGATAACCCTTTTTTTAATATTTAAAAATAAATAAATATTGTCCTTTAATCGGTCAAATTATACCTATGAGTCTAAAATGAAAAAAAAATAAAAATAATAATTAAAGTACTAAATTTAAAATATCGAAGCATAAAGAGTAATAATAAAAATTAAATTAAAATTTTCATTAAACAATGACTAAAATAAAGAAAATTAAAACTATAGGATTAAATTAAAAAGTAATAAAAATTATGGTAAAAAAATAAAAAAAATTATTAAAATATCAAGGATTAAATCATAAAATATCAAATTAAAGGGCATAATTTGAAATATTATGAAATATAGGTACTGATAGTGTAATTTAGCCTTAATTATTAACATGTGATTAAAATATAAATTATTAAAATTAAAAGGACTAAATATGGTATTTACCATAAATATTTAAACATAAGGCAGTGACTAAAATATAAATAAAATAAAATTGAAATACCGAATTAAAAGGCACATAAATTGATTTCAGTTACCAAAATGGAAATTTACAAACTTCGAGGGGTTGCGTACGTGATTTTCCCATGCGAGGAATTACACAAACATCCCTCCCCCAAAACGACGTCGTATGGGGAGGATATTTAAACCCAAATCCGGCCCCAAAAGAACCAAGCTCTCTCATTTTCAATTTCTCTCTCTCTCTAAAAGAGAAAGATGAAATTCTCTCTGCCTTCTCTCCAGGATTCCCTCGCCGGAGGGAAACCAGTCACCGGCTGATAGTCCTGCTCCGGTGTCGATCCCGTCGCCGGCCACCACCCACGGTGGCCGACTGGAATCCAGAAAAATACATCAAATTAAAGCCCTTATTTTCCTAAACCCAAATCCAAGCTTATTTTAGCCTAAAACCCTTTTGAACGACGTAGATCTAACTTTCTTTACCTTCGATCTTTTGGTTCTACGTCGACGTATGGGGCTCTGACGACCGTGGTAAGTCTTCTCTCTCTTTTTCTTCTTTTGGTTGCCTATTGGTTGTTATGGTTGCTTCTTTACTCTCATCTATGTTCGGTATTTTGCTTGTTGTCCGTGTGTGGTATTCGGTGTATTGCTCCCTGTGTCTCCATGTTTTCTTGTTCCTTTGCAGGTTCGGTGACTTTTATAAGCCACCATAGAGCTCTTCTTGGACCGGGTAATAGGGGAAGCCTCGGTGAGTCACCGAAGCTATGGTGGTGACTCACCGAAGGGTTGCAACATGTTCAGCTTTCTTTGACTCTTCTGGAGGCTTCGGCGGAGGCGTGGCAACAGCTGGCTGAGGCGGCGGTCGAACATAGCCCTAGGGTTATGATACCCTAGTGTTTCTTCTAGCTCGATCTGGACCGTGGATTTATCTTCATCTAACGATGGCGAGGAGCTGGCGGCTAGAGAAGATGATGAAAACCCTAGATGTATTCGGGTCTGGATCGAGTCTATTGGGCAGGGTCTGGACCGGATCGAGTCTAGACCGGGTCGGATCTGAGCCTGCTTCAACTGGGTTTTGGGTTGATTTTTGTTGGGCCTCCGGATTCTTGTAAAATGGGCCTGTAATATGTATTTAAAAATATTTATTATTTAATAATAATGATAATAATAATAATAATATTAATATTAATAAAATAATAATAATAATAATATTAAAATAAAATAAGAAAAAATTAGTGTCTACAGACTAAATGTGAAATAACTAAGAACGGCGAGACGAAGACAAGCAGTTCAAATTACACGAAGAGAACTTAGCAACTGACACACTTCATGTATACCCCACCAACGCTTTCAAAATTACAACCTGCTTTTATTTCTTTGATGTTATATTCCTTTCCAAAGAAGAAAAAAAATTCTTGATTTTCTTCGGTGAAGAAAAGTATTTAACTTTATTTAATTTTCTGGGTTTTTTTATTCATTCCCATTTCAGCTTTTTCAAAATTTTTCTATAAAGGTGTGTTCTTTTCTATGCCTTTTCTCAGATTTTTTATATATTCTTCTATGCTTTTGATTGTTTGGTATTGAACCCTGTACTATTTCTTGGGCTTGATTTGATGAAGTAGGTTCTAGTTAGATGCATATAAAGCTTGGAAATGAAAATATGAAGTTTGAGTTTGTTATAGTATGAAATTGATAGTAGGGGCTTGATTGTCTGTTAAGCATGCTTGCTAATGTTGTTTTTTTCCCTTTCTCTTGCACAAATTTCCATTGTGCTTATGTTATTTAAACCTTGTGCAATTAAAGATCAAGCGCGTGATTTTGTGGTGCTTTTTATGTTACTGGCAGTGGGGAACTTATAGCTCTCTTGATAGCTGAAGATGAATGACAAGGGGCAAGTCGAAGTTCAACCCCACCTTGAAGTACGTTGTTATTCATATTTTAATGTTTTATAGTACTCAATTCTTTTTTCTTCAACCCTTCTTTTGGTTGATGGATATGCATTTTAAGTTGATAATTCCTTTTTAGTGTATTTAGAGCCTGCATTTCTAATGTTTTAGTGCATATTGTTGCAGATGGGACTACTAGATGATGGGGCAATGCATGATCTCGATGATGAGTGCCTCTATTCCTCTTAAATGGATGCTCAAAAGACACATCCTATTCATTCGAATCAACCAGTTTCATTCTCTGGTTTGCCTGTTGGTGGTAATAAAATGACAAGGAATGGTGTTTATAAGAGCATAAAGACCGTAGTTTTCTCGAATAAACTCAACTTGCTCCTTCCTTTTGGGCCTCTAGCAATTATGGTTCATAAAATGAGCGCGAGTAACGTGAGTTTTAGTTTTGATGCTCTTTTTTTGTTTGGTTTTCTTTTTGAATTAAGTTGTTTAAATGGGGAGGTAGATTGCAAGGGTGGGTCTTCTTTCTAAGCTTACTAGGTATAACACCTTTGGCAGTGCGTTTGAGTTATGCTACTGAGTATGGATTCGTGTTCTTCTTTGAATTTCGTATTTTGATGCTATCAGTTGCTCTATTGCCGCCTAACATTGCTTTTTCATTTGATTGAATTTAGGCAGCTGGCTTTTTACACTGGACCTACAGGTTTTTTTTCCTATTCTTAATTCTTATGGATTTTTTTTCTTTATTAAACTTGTTTGTTGGTTTTAACTTGCTTGCCAAGGTTCCACTTAAAACCCCCTCTTTTTTTTCTCTTTTTAATTATAAATTCCGTGTCAGTAATAGTCTTTCATCTGTTGAAACGAGTTATAGTTGGTGGTCTTCTAAATGCTACATTTGGGAATGCAACTGAATTGATTATTTCAATTTATGCACTGAAAAGTGGAATGACACGTGTAGTTCACTTGTCGTTGTTGGGCTCAATTTTGTCAAATATGTTGCTTGTTCTTGGATGTTCATTCTTTTGTGGAGGGCTTGTACATCATGGAAAGGAACAGGTCTTCAGCAAGGTAAAAGTGTTAGTATGTTGTCTGATCTTATTTCTTCTATTTTCCATTATTCGATCACTCTAAACTGAAGTAAACTTACATTCAGGCAACAGCTGTTGTCAATTCAGGACTGCTGCTGATGGCAGTCATGGGCTTACTCTTTCCAGCAGTCCTCCACTACACACACACTGAACGGCAAGTTGGGAAGTCGGAGTTGGCTCTTTCGAGGTTTAGCAGTTGTGTTATGCTTCTAGCTTATGCTACCTATCTTGTTTTCCAGTTAAAAAGTCAAGAGGATACCTATGTCCCCGTTGGTGAGGTCGGTTATTATTGTTATTAGTATCTTTTGAATATAATAGGTACTTGCCTTGTTATTTTTTGTAGCATATTTAAGTGTTATGACAAATGGTGTAATATCAGGAAGGAACTATCAATAGGGAGAACGATGACGATTACGATGACGATGACGATGACGATGAACATGATGAAGCTCCAGAGATCTCCAAATGGGAATCAATAATTTGGCTTGCTATCATGACTGCTTGGATTTCTATCCTGTCGGACTATTTGGTGGATACCATAAAGGTAACATTTGTTTTTCAATAATATTTCCTCTTTCTTGGTTAATGAGATGGATATGCTTAAAACATTTGAGGTCATAGTTCACTCAAAGAATCAAGTTGTTAAATCGGGAGCGATGACCTAATGAATCATAAATACTGCTTTTATGATAAGCATCCTCTAATGTCATGTCTAGTCAAGCCAATCTGAGCATGAATAACTGATAGAATGATTTCAAAGTTGGTTAGAGGTCCGCATTAGCTTTTTCTCTCTCTTCCAGTTGGGGTATTAATTATAACTTAGTAGGGGTTTAAAATTGATTTTCCTTTTAAAAGCTTCACAAAGGTTCTTAACGGGATTCGGATTGATTATCCAAGTAACCAGCTAGGCATGATTAATATCTTTGTTCCAACATGAGAGGGGTGTTACAGATTTCTAGGCCAAATATTAGGGTTGATATATATTGTATGATATTACTTAGTTAATATGAGATATTACTTTACATATTATAGGACCTTTATACGTGTATATATACTTATATGCTGATTGATTTTCTATGAGCTTTCTCTTGTCTGATGATTGTTTCTTAGGGGGCATCTGATGCATGGAATGTGCCAATTGCGTTTATTAGTGTTATCTTACTCCCCATAATTGGGAATGCTGCTGAGCATGCAAGCGCAATCATGTTTGCCATGAAAGACAAGCTTGTAAGTGATTCTCTTAACTTCTATTTCTATTTCGTAAATTCAAATTTTTGCTATTTAATAAAAATTATCTTCAGGACATATCCCTGGGAGTGGCGATAGGGTCATCAACTCAAATTTCTATGTTTGGGGTATGTATTGTACATTGGATCCACCTGTTTTTCTATTGATGCAACTCCATTATGTCCATATACATCCGAATGTTCGGGACTTATCGGTTTTACTTTTGATTTTATTTTTCAGTTTCTGTAACACCAAGAAATGAGTTTCATATAATTCATTACTATATCTGTCTCTCAGGTTGGGGTGTGTGGCTCATTTTTGTCAATTATTTAGGATTATCCACTTTTTTACATCACTTGTAATGATGTTAAAGCATGAACGGTGTTCAAGTCATGAAGAATTTATACTCAATTTTGGAGCGATGCTGAAACCGATTTTCTTATGGTAGTATCGCTAATACATTTCTTTTGCTTCGGTCTTCTAAACTCGTGTTATTTTTGAATCTGCAGATACCATTTTGTGTGGTTATTGGGTGGGCGATGGGGCAGGAAATGGACTTGAACTTCCAGCTCTTTGAGACAACAATACTGTTCATTACTGTTATAGTTGTAGCCTTTTTTCTGCAGGTTGGTATATCAAGAACTTTATATTCGAGTTTGAGTAATCGGTATCATTTTTAAGGATTAAAGCGAATGAAAAATAGAAGGCTGTGGACGGTAGGTGAAGTTAACTTTGTTTTCCTTTAATTTCACGTGCAGGAGGGGACGTCTAACTACTTTGCTATCTGATAGTCGCAGCGAGTTTCTTCGTGCATGAAGATCCTTCGGCAGCTGGTCAGCTCTTCCTCCATTCCTTCTCCAAATCCTTCTTTTGATTTGGTTTCTCCTTTGTGGTTTTCATTGTTTTAGTATTGGTTGCGCTGTATGTAATCGGTTCGATATTACAGATCAAAGGAAGCAACCGAAGACTTGACCAGTGAAACAGTTGTACTACGGGGATTGAATTTGGAACCTGGAAAGTTGCAGAGGCAGATTTCAAAAGTCCCACAAAGCATCGCATGCTGGTGTAAATAGTTTGTTGACAAGCAGATTTCCATTTGTTTTCCCAAAGCTATGTTAAATGCAGGATTAAACTGAATTTTTATAATTATAATCTTGTGACAAATCAAGATTCAAGCTTTTGGGGATGAAAATAGTCTTGTTTTTGCTTAAAAGACGGTAGTGATACAGTAATATGATGTAATGGGATTTTTCAGAGTAACACTAATATTTGAACTAAAACCCCAAGTAATTGAAACATGAATAACACAGAATAAGTGTTACAAAACCAGAGAAATAATGAAGAGCAAATAAATAAGATCGTAAATAAGAACACAATCGGGAGAGAGATTCTCTATGTCGAAAATAAATTATATGCAATGGATTCATAACATACCAGTAGGCTAGTAACTTAATATTTTGATTCAAGCATGCTAGTAATATATATATATGTGTATGTGTGTGTACATATATATATATATATATATATATATATATGTCATGGGAATGTAATACCATAGCTGATAAATCTGGTTAACTGAAATTCTTCAAACCTTACCAAACTTTCAACTTGCGTATGGATATAAATAATACGAGATTCAACGAGATAAAAATGAAAAAAAAAAAGTGATCTACAAACCTTTCGAAACACCCACCACGTCTTTATTCTTTTCCTTTCATCAATCTTGAATAAATAGAAGAGACATCAGACATGGGCCATGAAGTTGCAGAAGACAGCCAGTCTCCATTGCTGGGAAGTTCTTCTTCCTCAACTCAAGTATCAGCAGAACCTGTTAACAGGACTGGTATATATATATGTGTGTGTGTGTGTTGTTTAACTGATGACCCTTTTCTTTGCTCATTGTGTTATCACTTTATGCATATATAGTTGATTGCTTTCATATCATGGGTCAAATTTTATAGGATGACCAATAGGATAAAGCAATGTTCCTCAAATGAAGTTACAGTGATTTCCCAGTTCTTATATTATGGGAAGAAAATGATCAGGGAACCTCTGAGCCAAAAATAAAAGCAAATTAGTAACCTCAAATAGAAGCAGCAGCTTAAACATGAACGAAAGGTGGAAAACAAGAAATGATTTGAATCTGCAGATGTTGGGTTTGCATGAGGCGTTGAGTGGTAGTTGCAGTTTGAAAGACAGATATATTTCATATTTTTAGTATTACAAATAGATATTAGTAACTGTTGATAGTGACACTAATTTCAAGTCTATTTTAGATGTGGTTTGGATCAATTTTAATTATGAATCATTCGGGTTAAATATCAAGTTTGTCAAGTCACATACTTATGTGTTTAGATCATTTTGAGTTCTAGTCACTTTGGTTCATTTAGATTTAGTTAGGATCGTTTTAAGTTCATAATATTTTCAAGTTTAGAACACAAGGATTCATGTTATTTCAGATTAATTGTTAAGGTCGTTGTTCGAGTCGTTTTAAATCAGAGACAATTCTAAATTTGAGTCAATTGTGTTGGTTTAAGTTTAGATCATTTCAGGTTCAAATTAAATGGATCTAAATTGTTAAGTTTTCATAATCACGTCCAATTGGGTTGAGTTGATTTTACATTAAATTTTGAAAAATCTAATTTCAAGATACAATTTTGACTTGCAAAAACTGGAGTAATGAATTTACCTAAAAGATCCGTTAAAATTTATGATTACTCCAAATCTTCCTAAAGTTAAAAGAATTGGAATGTTAACTTGGTCTTTGAGGCAACACATTTGGCATAACTTTTTTCTTTACCATATCTTTTGGTCGTAGACAGATTTTCAGCGTATCTGCCTTACTTTGGTAAAAGCATTGAATGAGTGATTTTGGGGTCTAATTTTTCCATTTTCGAAATTAGCCATTGGTATCCAATCTATTGATCGGTTAATGTAGTTCGGATTTTACAGAGGTACATATCGGATCTAATTTTTGACGTTGAATGTGAAGGAACCATATGGACAGCGATAGCGCACATAATAACCGGTGTGATAGGGGCAGGAGTATTATCCATGGCCTGGAGCATGGCTCAGTTGGGATGGATTGCAGGTCCAATCTCCACGCTTGCCTTTGCAGCTCTCACCATGGTTTCCACTTATCTTCTATGTGACTGCTACATGTTCCCTCACCCTCAACATGGCCCCAACAGAGTCCATTCTTACATGGATGCTGTTCTTTTGTATTTGGGTAAGCCTTCAAAGTCTGTCTCGTATGCAAAATTTTAATCGATGTGAGATTAATATGAAATAAATCAAGAAATCTTTAAATATCGAGCAAGCAATATTCAACCAATAAAGGATTTTTTATAAATATTCCGATTTCATTCCTAAACTATGACTATCATTATAAATTAGTCCTTAAACTCTTGAACATTTTATTTTCATCCATAAACTATGACCATTCTGAATTGGTCTTCAAACTTTTTGAATATTTCAGTTTCATCCCAAACTGTACATATATACTAATCACATTCTTTGTTAACAAAATCGTTAGGCCAAGCTATATTATTACTCCCTCAGTCTCAGTAAATCTATCCATTATTGACTCTTTTTGTCGTTTTTTTTTTAAATTTTGACTCACTATTATTTAAAACTTATTATCGATAAAAATATGAAAATATATTTTTAAAGACCTTCAATCAAGTAGTTTTTAAATATATATATTTTATAAAATTTAATTATTTAAAACATTTAAAATAATCATGATCAAAGTTTAAAAATTTTGACTTTTAAAAAGTCAATAAGGAACAAATTTTGTGGGACAGAGAGATTATATTTAAAAAATTATATTATTATATTTTTGAAAAAAAATTAGAATTTTTTTAGGGTTTTAGTTTTTTAAACCCTAAACTCTCATTTTAAATTGGTCTCCCAAACTTTTTGAATATTTCAATTTCTTCTCAGACTATATATATATATAGTAATTGATAAAATCGTTAGACCAAATTATATTATCATATTTTTGAAAAAAAAAATTTAGGTTAAACTATGCTTGAAACCAATTCCATATTTGGATGAATTTGGGGATAACATTGAAAGTTTCAAAAGTTTGGGGACCAATTTAGAATAAGGGTCATATTTTGGGGATGAAATTGGAATGTTCAAAATTTTATGGACTAATATAAAATGAAAGTCATAGTTTAGAGATGAAATTAGAATATTCAAAAGTTTAAGGACCAATTTAAATGGAGGATCATAGTTTGGAGACATGTGATACAATTAACTCTTATATACAATTAATTATCAATTAGACTTTAAGTTACTATTTAACTCTATGTTCACCTTAACTTCAGTTTGAATCGAATTGAATTATAATTCATAATTCATAAAGATTTTAAAAGAAGATAAAACTTGGAAAGATGATTTAGATAAGGAATCAAGTACATGTCGCCTTGATTTATGGACTCTAAACGTCACTAAAAGTATATATATGTATATAAATACGTAAAGATCTGCTTACTGGTTCAAGTCTTCATTGTGTTTGACTACTCTTGCTAGTAATATATATATATATATATATATATATTAGTGTAATTGACGCTCCTCGGTCTGAGTTCTGATCGCAAGGTATTTGGCTTTTTATCGCAATAAATATTCTCTTGGTATTAGTGTAGATTTGTTGAAAAATAAACGAATCCTTTCAGAAATATGGTTTGTTTATTTGTGATATAGTTGTTGAAAACATTGATGAATTGCAGGAGAGAAGAAGCAGAGAGTGTGTGGAATAATAGCACACGAGAGCTTGTACGGGACTACGGTTGCGTATGTCATAACCTCTTCTAATAGCATCAAGTAAGATCCTTTCTTCTTTCTTTACTTTTGCCATTTAATAGCATATGAAACTGCCCTGGTTGTCGTCGTCCTTGTTAGTTCTTGTATCATGTAGTTGCATTGATGGCCTATTCTGATAAGCCACATCGAGACAAATACATATTAACACAATGTTGCTAATCATCTGATTTCAGATTTCTTCATGTTTTCTGTCCTTCTCCACTTGCTAAAATCTCCTTTGGATTTTCAAACTTTAGTATATTATATGAAAAGATGTGCTTCATGTTTCCCACCCTCATTGACCTCTTTGTTTTGTCTACTTAGAAGATGACTACCGACTTCCAATTAATAGGAAAAAGTAGAACCCTACCCCAAAATTAAAGACATTGCAGTTTGATCCAACTCAAAACATCCTATCCGATTGACTTGAATTTGAATCGATCCAACTTGGTTTATTCATAGAAATTCAACACTCCAAATCTATTTAATTTGAGCTTAAAGATAATCTGAAACAAGAAGGATCTAACATATATCATTTAAACTCAAAATAATCTTATATTAATAAAAACTCCACTCGAATAATTCGATCTAAAATCAATCTGATTACCCCAATGGACTGGTCTAATTACATGTGTTGAAAGTTTATATTGTAGTTGATAATATCAATATCAGCAGGCTCAAAACAACCGACTCTGACCAATGGTCCATGACTGGATTCATCATAACTTGTGGGCTCAAATAAAGCCAGCTAAGAGTTTTGGGATTTTCATCAATGACAAAAACATCAGATTATATGTTCCCAAAACATTGACCCCCTTTTATTATTGTACGTCAAACGCAAGTGAACCACTTTTGTTTTACATATAAGTTCTGACCTCACCCATCAGCTCAGCAAATTCGGTAGAATTTGTCGCCACACACTTAATTAGATAAACTTACATGAGAATCACGTCTTTCTTTTTCTTTGTTATTTTCCTTCCCCATGAAAAAAAATCTTATTATTTTAATTGCACTAGTATACATGGAATGACATCCATCGAATCTACAGAAAGAATGGGTTCAACTGATACTCAAATGCTTTCGGCATATCTGTTGCTTGTTTTTGTGAAATTTTTTTCGAAAGAAACAAATGGATAACATTATTGCAACAGTCATTTTCCTAGTGCTTGTTGAAAACAAGTGACATCTAACTATAGGCTTAGCCCTAGATTGATTCGCTAATCTACTGTTTAGCTCCACAGTTTGCACGCATTCATGCTATAAGAACCATGACCTCTGGGGTCAAATCATATCACAAAATTAAATTTCAAACTTCAATGAATGTTACTAATTAAGGATCGAGACTTTTTTATTAATGAAAACCCTATTTCAATCAAAAGAGAGTGAAAAGGTGGATAGATTGATTATCAATAAAGAGTAGTACCTAAATTTTGATGCAAACCAAGCCAGTCTCGTTTTTATACCTTGTTTCATTTTAGCAAGACTAGCCGACTAGTACCCCACCTACTACTGCTTATTTCATATCTTAAAGATTCTGATGACATCCCTTTATAATCACTTCAATTATATCCATCTATCTACCCTTTTTATGTATAATCTATCTATATGTATGTATGTGTGGGTCGGAACTGAGGACAGAGTTTGTTAACTCCAGGTTGAACGCCTCTTTGAAAATTTTCCCTTCGAAATACCCGAGTCCGGCTTCATTAAGACCATTGTTAACTCCAGGTTGAACGCCTCTTTGAAAATTTTCCCTTCGAAATACCCGAGTCCGGCTTCATTAAGACCACAAAGGACATATTTTCTACTAGTTCTGCAATTACATATAGGTACAAGGCCAAGCTTCATCTGCTTCCAACTTTTTTAGTTTCTCTAACTACTGCTGCCTGGTAAGTATATAATAATTATATTGTGTTCAACAAGTAATAGTTTCAGTATTGATTACTATACAGTATACATACTCTTTCAGCACTTATTTGTAAATCCTTCACCACAATTTTTCTGTATTGAATAAAGTCAGATGACCTAATGGTTCTTTCCAGTTAGACTGGGATCCGAGGAGTGATTAGAGATTACCATATAATGAAGAAAAATACATAAATGAGTAGGAAAATTTGTAAAGTACAACTTTCCAATTCCATGTTTCTTACAATTACATCAACCGTTTGCTAACTTGTCGTCGGTGGCATCTCTAACTACATTAATGGGGTCACATCACTGTCTAAACAACGTCCGGAAAAGACCATTTGATTGAAATTGAAAGATCTATATAGCTATTACTTGAATGAACCTGATCCTTTTGGACTTAGAGGAGATCATACTTTTGGTGTGAGGGATTCGTTGGTGATTCATGATTAAGAGAAACAACTTTGTTATGATATCTAAAACAGTTGTGCTTTTTTTAATATATATTCCAGAGGTTTACTTTTTAATTATGCTTCATCTTATGTACTATCTGCAAGAGCCTTGATTTGAATCAAGTGGATTAATGGATCTTTGTTTATATTAAAAGAAAATAGCCAGTATGAATGACATTCATTCAAGTGTTTTGAGTGCTAAGGGGTGATCTGGTGTTGTATTCAAATTTGGCCTTAGACCCTTTATTTTGGATTTGCAGCTCATAAATTTTCTTATTGAAACGTGTCGCCTTCTTCAAAGTACTGGTCTACAATGGTTCAACACTCCCTCGAACTTGCTAATAGTGGTTGCGATGATGATGGACATCCTGCAAGAACTGGTAATGCCGACTTCAGGACTAAAGTGCTTATTATTAGTATTATGTTCTTTTGGTTTCGGTCCGATAGAGATTTAACGATGTGTATGCGTGGGAACTCAATCAGGGACCTTGTGGAGTTGTGTGGCACACATAATCACTGCTGTTATAGGCTCTGGGGTTTTGTCCTTGGCATGGAGTACTTCACAGCTAGGATGGATAGCAGGGCCTACTGCTTTGCTTATTTTCGCTATTATCACCTATATTTCAGCCTTCCTTCTTTCTGATTGTTATCGTTCCGATGATGGAACACGAATCAAGTCTTACGCGGATGCTGTCCGGCATTATCTCGGTAGTTTTGAGCTAAATTTTCACTCTTCGTCATCTCTTGTTTCCATTTCCCTTTAGTAACTTGCCTCCTATGAACCTAATTTGGTTGAATAATTCAGGTAGAAACCGCACATGGTTGTGTGCTTCTCTTCAGAACCTGAGCTTGTATGGGACTTGCATTGCTTATGTAATAACAACTTCAACCTGTATGAGGTACTTGATGAAATCCTTTAGTTCTAGTCATTTTTCTTTAAATATTGGTCATACCCAGGCATGAGTATTGGGATATGATCTTCTAAAAACCCTTCAAACATACGAATAATCTTCAATAAAATTCGTACCAACACTCGTTTCTCATATTGAACTCCAAGTAACATAGGTATCCATTACCCCATACAAGATTTGCTTCATATGGCTGTCTTTAAGTTGATTTTTTTCTTTTCCTTAATTAATTGCTACTTTTTTCCTACTTATTTTTATGTTTATTTTTTTTTTGGCTTAATGCAGAGCGATTCAGAAATCAAACTGTTACCACAGAGAAGGGCATGATGCTCCATGTTCATATGGGGATACTTCCTATATGCTGCTATTTGGAGCTGTTCAAGTTGTGATGTCACAGATACCAAATTTCCATAACATGGCGTGGCTTTCGGTTGTTGCTGCAATCATGTCCTTTACTTATTCCTTCATAGGGTTTGGACTTGGGTTTGCACAAGTCATAGGTATAAATACCTTCGAAAACTTTCCTTTAATTTTCCTCATCTTTGTTACTTGTTCAGAGTTTATCAGAATGGATTTGCACTTAAAACTCAAGTCTTTGATTGCAGAAAATGGGACGATTAAGGGGAGTATAACCGGAGTGCCTGCTGCTAGTGTGGTTGATAAACTATGGTTAATATTTCAGGCACTTGGAGACATTGCATTTTCCTATCCATATACAATCATTCTTCTTGAAATACAGGTATGGTTTGATTCCTTTCTTAAAACAAATTGTTTTCACAGTATAAGCTGAATTCTCTTATGAATTTCAAATTATGTTGTTGGCCCCTTTACTGTACTTAAATTTGAGATTTTGTCCTCATATTTGATATAATGTAATCCATCTATTTTTACAATCTCATTACTTGATTAAACTATGTCAATTTAAAGTATAGTTGACGGACAGAAACCGAAATTTGACCCAGGGAATATGTAGGATCCTAACTGAATCATGAAATTGTTTGATTTTAGGATACCTTGAAGTCAAATCCACCAGAGAACAAGACCATGAAAAGAGCCTCAATGGTAGCAATCTTTGTAACAACCTTCTTCTACCTCTGTTGTGGTTGCTTTGGATATGCTGCATTTGGCAACAATACGCCTGGGAATCTCCTCACAGGATTTGGATTTTTTGAGCCCTACTGGCTCATTGACTTTGCTAATGCTTGCATTGTTCTTCATCTAGTGGGAGGATATCAGGTATGTCACCCTACATTGAAAATTCATCACATTTCAGAGCATAGTTGAAAATGTTGATCTATGTTATTCAAGCTTGAATTTGTAATCGTATCCGAAAACATGGCTCTTTCAACCCGAACTTGAATCGACTCAAACCTAAAGTGACTTGGCCAAAATGATCACAATTCAAAATCAACCTGACTTGTCTAATTGGCATGTCTAACTATTCCCATGTATATACAAGTCAAAAACGGTTGTGTGGCACGATATTTCAAGAAAAATGAATTAGTCGCAATGAAAAAATATATATTATTACAATCATGTTAACACCAGCTATTGTTTATTTCTTTTTGGTTGCAGATATTTAGTCAGCCGGTATTTGCATTTGTGGAGAGATGGTTTACCAACAAGTTCCCAAGCAGTGGATTCGTGAATAACTTGTACACAGTCAAAATCCCATTGTTGCCTTCATTCCAAATGAATCCTCTCAAGTTATGCTTCCGGACAGCCTACGTTGCGTCGACGACCTTGATTGCAATGATATTCCCCTACTTCAACCAAGTACTAGGAGTGTTGGGGGCACTGAACTTTTGGCCTTTGGCCATATATTTCCCTGTGGAGATGTACTTCGTGCAGAGGAAAATCCAGCCCTGGTCCAGAAAATGGATTGTTCTTAGGACTTTCAGCTTTTTTTGCTTTCTTGTCACAATTGTGGGATTGGTAGGATCGATTCAGGGGATTGTTAGTGCAAAACTTGGATAAGATATCATTTTCATCGCACTTGTATATTAGGAAGTTAGAAACTACATATTTTGTTAGTTTCACAGAATGCTTTTCATTAACAACTAGTTTTATATTATGATTTATGGACTTATGATACTTTTTTTCTTTTTTGGTAAAATCTGAATTTGCTCCAAATTCTGAATCTGTTGATCATCTGCTAACTTAGAACAAAGGGAAGACTTTAAATTCATCAAACATAAGTAGACATAATTAAGGTAGGATGTGGGTAGAAATCTGGCATCAAGAGAGTAATTACTTCTTTTTATTAGTATATGGTGATTATTACAATATGTTTAGACGATTCTTAATTATTTGACAACAAATGCTCTAACACCTCTGCAGATGTGCATTTTAACCTGAGAACACTAGGAATGACAACTATCCTTTAACCATTGAGATCACATGGTTCATGGTCAAAGTATTTACTTTGAATATGCAATATGTGTATGCTTGTATAGTTTTGGAGGACTAAAAAGTATATTTTTTTCCAAGTGGAAAGTTGTAGTAAAAGGGGCAATAAATGATTTGTGATAAGTAAAGCAAGAAATGTGAGGGTGCAGCAGCACACGTGGGGGTGGAAGCAGAAGAAGAGTTGCATGAAAATGAATGATGGAAGTCAAAGAAAGAGAGGGTTGACCGGGCGTCTTGAGGGTGAGCTACCGGCCTATCCTTCACACGCTCAACAGCGTTGAATTCTTTAATAAAATCATGCACCTTTGATGCCGTTCCTCTCTTATTTCTCTTGCCCTTTCTATATAAATATTATACCTTTACAATTTAAATGTACCCCCAAACTATTCTCTTCTTTATTTCAATCTCATAATCAAAGATTACCACCCAGCAAAGGAAACAAAACAAAACCCATTCCTTGTTTTGCCTTGTCCTTGTCCTTGTTTTTAGCATTTGTTTATGGAGTGAAGAGTGAAAAACAAAAAGAAATAAAGATGGGTCGGATTCCATGTTGTGAGAAGGACAATGTGAAAAGAGGACAGTGGACACCTGAGGAAGACAACAAGCTCTCCTCCTACATCGCCCAACATGGCACCCGCAATTGGCGCCTCATCCCCAAGAATGCTGGTCTGTGTTATTTCCCCTTTCCTTGCGTGCCACGCAATGCAATTGTGTTTATACGTATTCTTTATATTGTTTTAGAAGTAAAAGGAATTTGGGATGGTGTTGACTTTCAGGTCTCCAAAGATGTGGGAAAAGCTGTCGCTTGCGATGGACTAATTACCTTCGGCCTGACCTTAAGCATGGCCAATTCTCCGATACCGAGGAGCAAACCATTGTTAAACTTCACTCTGTTGTTGGCAACCGGTAACACACTGTGAAACAATGACCTGCCTAGACCAGACCAGATAAAAGCCACCCTATTTCAACTTTTTTTTCCTGCTCTATTCATTCATATTTCGGTTTGGCTACTAACTGCGTCGAAAATGGCATCCTATTGCAGCTGGTCCTTGATTGCAGCTCAGTTACCTGGCCGGACTGACAATGACGTTAAAAATCATTGGAACACCAAGCTCAAGAAGAAACTTTCGGGCATGGGTATTGATCCAGTGACCCACAAGCCTTTCTCTCACCTCATGGCTGAGATAGCCACCACGCTGGCACCGCCACAAGTGGCTCATCTAGCGGAAGCGGCCCTCGGGTGTTTCAAGGATGAAATGCTCCACCTCCTCACTAAGAAACGCATCGATTTCCAGCTTCAAGGGAATAATACCACAGTTCCTCACGTGAGCAGCAAACAAGATGAGAAAGATGTTGAGATGATCAAACTGAATTTATCAAGGGCTATACAAGAACCAGACATGCTACCCATGAATAAGCCGTGGGAGTCTACTAGTATGAGAGCAACATCGGCTAATTTCAAAGGGGTTTGCGGTGTTTTCCCAGAATCCGTGAGCGGATATCATCAATACGGCACATCATCTTTTGCCAATGAAGGGGGCGGCTCAGGCTCGCCGTGGAGCCAGAGTATGTGTACGGGAAGCACATGCACCGCAGGGGAACAAGCGAGGCCACATGAGAAATTAAAGGACGAAAACGGGGAAGAATTCCAAGGTGGGAAAGAAATTAAGAATGCATCAAGCATATTCAATACAGACTGCGTCTTATGGGATATACCATCTGCTGATCTTATCAATCCTATTTATAGAGAAGCCTTTAACAACAAAGAATAAAAATGTAAGCAACAATTTCTATTACATGGCCAACAATAAACTTCTAGTGTGGGGGGGGGGACAAAAGGTTATATTTGGCAATGTAAATAAAACTCATTCTATAGTTCAACTATGATGAAACTTGCAACAAAATCATAAAACTGTCACTACTATTTTATAAATCATTGTATTTCTGCTAAATCTTCTCTCTCTGTGTCGAGGAAAGCAATCTAGATCAAGCAAAATATGATGACGAAGACGATGTATCTGCTAGAACCTGCAAACATAAAAGAGAAAATAGTCAAATAGAAGCTAAGCATTGTTTTTTTTCCAGCTTAATCGAAAATCCGTTATCATTCATTGCTGTATGCATATACCTCAAGTTGCTCTTCTGTAAAGGAATCCTTTTGAACATTCCATGTATCTGCATGAGTTCGCCGAAACTCTGCAACTGCTTTTGTCACTGTTGATTTTACAGGTGATGGCTCCCCACTGAAGAGAGCCAATAATGTGACGTGATCAGGTAACCAACTGCAAAAAGAACTTGTACATTAATAACATAGCAAGAAGAAAAAAAACTTCAGAAGCCTGAACAAATCAAAGTGTTGTTTTGAAAATTAACAAGCCTCAAACAATCTTATTTTCCTAGAGTCGCCAAGTTTCCTAAGGTCCCAGTTTAGATCCATAATTCCATATTATACAGACTGAACAAGCCATATTAAAATTTAAAATGCATGTCAAGGTACCTACCTACTTTCGTTAATATATTAAACAAACTAGATGCCTAATAATTTAACTTCAAAAGCTTTCCGCGGTGTCGTAAGTACCAAGGAAAGATGAGTTAATCAGCCATAGAAAATTTTACACTTTTGAGAACTCGTTTCTCCAGCATTTTCTTCATTTCTTCTCAAGTCATGGAAGATTCTGAAATACTTACTTTCTAGAAAAAATTATATTATCAAAATACCAAAAAAACTGTCCATTTATTTTTAGGCCAATAGAAGTGAAACCAAGCTTCTTTAAACAACATAAATATTTTTCTGACAAGTACCTAATAATACTTCCGAGACCATTGATACGGTTCTCGGTGAACTGATACATTCTACAAATGGTATGCAATTAAATGGAAATTACTAAAACTAAAAAGTATTTATTTGACTAACCAATGATATTTGTTAGGATGCTTAGTTTTAAAATTGCCCCTGGAGCAGTCATTGTGAAAACAAATAAAGCAATTGTAGTTCTTTTAACTGTTTCAAACTGAAACCCATGGATTTAGAAATAGCGCTTTAATTTTTTATCCCAGTAAAACTTCTGGTGATCTACATAATAATTCCTGAATTATTACTAACATTTGAACTATTAATCATATTTAAAATAGACCAACCTGGGCAGATCATATGGGACAGATAACACAGAAGCCGCCAAAGCAAGTACTACACTATGAACAGATGCCACGGAGTGTCCAGAATTTTTATTCCTGCATTCATAAGTTTATGATTAGATTTGCATAGATATCAACAGAAAACTGAAACCAGGACCTCCTTCACAGGTTAATGTGAATGCAAGTCTTTTATTTGTAAATAAGCTACTTAATTACGAGTTATGATTAAGATGCTAGTTAAGTTTTCCGGTATAGATGGTAACATACAAATTTTATAGCACTTGTAAATGACAGAATTCCAGACATCTGTCTCACCACTCACCATGTGTACCAGAATTCAGTCAACACCCATTCGTACGCCTACACCAAAGGTATTGTCCTCTTTGGGTACCCACAGGCCACAAGCCCCTCAAGGTATACTTCCTTAACAGTGCACCTCCCTCAGTTCGAACCAAGGACCTTTCCTTTTTTCTGAGTCATTTCGCCTACACAGACCAATTTACCCTCAAGGTGCACCGCTGGGTCTTGAGGGGCACTTTTGGATGCCCAAAGAAGACAATTACTTTAATGTAGGCATACATGGGTGACAACCAAATATCACTATGTACAGTGATGTCAGAGATGTCCGAAACCCAGTCAATTCATAAGCCTTATTAATTCAGCAAGCAACTTTTGGATGCCCCAAGAAGACTAACTTTAATGTAAGCATACATGGGGTGACAACCAAATATCACTATGTACAGTGATGTCAGAGATATGTCTGAAACCCAGTCAATACTTATTTATCAATACAGCAAGCAACTTCAATGCTCAGGATTTATGATTTGTGCATAGTTGTATTCTTATGAAGCACTGTAGGGCAAGCATCTGATAGTTTTTCTTTTGAACAGACTTAAACTGAGATTCATTATAGAAACTAAAGTTATCATCATTGCATTAGCAAGATTAGCATTAATTATTCTCTCATGCGTGAGGATAGAACTTAGAAAGAATCTCTAACCCCATTAAAACAAAAAAAGCCGCCTTTTGTTGGTGCTTTTCCTTCTTTTGATTTGCATTAATCAATTTAATTTTTTAGCATCTAAAAGAATTAGTTTCCATCAGACCATATAACTGACATATAAATACCTTGTCTTTCTACTTCGTTGAATGGTATTTGCCTCTATGTAAGCTCTTTCACGGAAATCTCTAGCTAAATCTTCATCCCCACCTTTCATTAGGCCAGCTAGCACTGCTGCAGCATGCTCTCTTACCTGAGAAAATGTAGCATTTCAGTTGAAAGTAATAATATCATGTTTCCTTCCCAAGGATCTTAATCCTCAAAGTGGGGCAAAGGACATATTGAACCAGGGTATCCCTTGTAAAACAATTATTGTGAAAGCACAAAGACTTCAAATTCTGTTATTTTGTACTTCATTCTGAGACCATAACTGATAACTTCTTATAGTTCATTCTCTTTATTGATAAAATGTCC